CCTCTGGCCAGCCATTGATTTCTCTCTCGAGGTCCAGAACTGGACCCCCTTCCATGGCTGCTTCTGAGGCATCTCGATCCCTGGAAATCAGACGGGAGGCTCTGCTTCCATAGCTGAAGGCCTAGTTAGACGCCTGTCCTGGGGTTGCAATGATGATATTACTCAGCGTGGACACAGTAAAGGCTGCAGAAGCACCCACACTGGCAATCAGAATGAGTGAATTCCTGTTTTCTCTTCCCTACTTGGCTGTGACTTATGCAAGTGTTTTGCAGATCAAGTATCCCCACGTTTTTGTGGTAGAGGTCAAAACGCCGTGTGAGCTGCGGAGATGGGAGAGCCCAGGGGCCCCTGATGGCTTCCCGTGGTCCTGTTTCTAACCACGCAGAAGCTACAGCCTCAAGCCCTTCCCTGCTCAGGAAGACTCAAAGGTCAACTCAGATGGGATATTCCATCCATGGAATGGAGCAGGGAGAGGAGAACGCCCAGGGAGCTGGAGGAAAAGGGGCAGGAGCTTCAGGGTCCTCAGGATTCTCAGGTACAATGAGCTGAAGTCCTTGTACCATCTGTGAGACCCTTGCTGTTGTTCTCAGGCCTGGAAGACACCAGGGCACAGGGGCATTCAGCCCTCTCGGAGGGCACGGGAACCCGGGCAGGCAGCTGGGCAGAGCTTCTAGTTTACTTCTATTTGAATCCAAATGCAGTTATTTCTTAATTGTAGGTGGTGGCTATCCACCTGTCTGCCATATGCTTTTCTGTATGTACACACACACGTGCACACAATATTTTTTTAACCTCAAATGTTTTTAATTTAAAAAATTGTTTTTTTAGACACTCTTAGTCACCCAGACTGGAATGCAGTGGCACAATCACAGCTCACTGCAGCCTCGACCTCCTGGGCTCAAGGATCCTCCCACCTCAGCCTCAGTAGCTGGCACTACGAGTGAGTACCACCATGCCGTTAATTTGTTTTTGTGTGGAGACCAGGTTTCACCATGTTGCCCAGGCTGGGCTTGAACTCCTGGGCTCAAGTGATTCTCCCACCTCAGCTTGCAAAGTGCTGGAATTGCAAGTACGAACCACTGTGCCCACCTTGAATGCTTTCAATGATGCTTGGCTGGGAAGGTCCAGGTTTGGCTTGGAGGCACCAGTGGAAGACAGGACCAGGAAGGAGAAGAACAGGTGAATGAGGCAGCGAGGGGTGGGCTAAGGTGGTGGGGGAGGGTTGGGCTAAGGAGGTGGGGGGAGGGGTGGGCTAAGGAGACAGGGAGGGGTGGGCTAAGGAGGCAGGGAGGGACAGATTAGGAGCTGGAGGAAGGACAAGTTAATGAGATGGGGGCCATGTCAGAGGATGCCCGGGGGTCTTGGTGGCCCAGGGAGTCTCTTCTGTCTGAGGCTCCATCTTTGTCCCACCCGCCTTTTCCTCTGCAGCCCCTACTTCAGTTAGCGACAGTCCCTGGAAGTTGAGAAGACAAAGAATAATTATTTTCTGCATCCCCTGAAAGCTCCTTTAATGCGGGAAAGTCACTGTTCCCTGGGACTGGCAGGATGAAAGGGCTGGGAGAGGGAGGGAGGTGGGAGAGGAAGGGAGGTGGGAGAGGGAGGGTGGCTCCACGAAGCCAGATGCTGAGTGGCCCTGGGCAGGTTCAATGCCTCCCTGCCCGTCTCAGCAGCTTCTGCTCCAGCAGGACCAAGGTCGGGGCTCTGCTGCACGGCGAGGTGTGAAAACCCCAGCTTAGAAAGACCCCCCAAGCAGAGATGAGAATATTTCTGGGTCCTTGGCTAAGCCCAAATAACGAGGTCTGCAGGAAGGAGCCTAGCCAAGCCATGATCCCGAACCCTGGTGGTCCCAGAGCGGCCAGCATCTTCTGGCCAGCGTGAGCTGGCGGTGAGGATTCTTCCCAGCCCGGCTCCTGGAGAAGCCCTTGGGAGCCAGCTGGACCTTGCCAAAGGGCCCTCTCTGTTCTCCATGGGCCCTGGGGACGTCACCGTCAAACTGCAAACGCAGACGTGCTCTGGCCCAGAGACTCGGCTTGCAAGAACGTCTCCTACAGGAATTCTTTCGCATGTGGTCCAAGACCCGCGCACAGGCTGGCAGTACCAGCCCAGAGCTGAAGCAGCCTGAATGCCGTCGACAGGCCCAGTATGGTGGGACACGTGAACAACACGGACGAGCCCGTGCGAGCTGCGTGACTCCACGTGGCTCCAACTCCGAGAGGCGCCGTGGTCAGTCGGCAAAAGGGACTGGCTGCCCACGCGTCCAGCATGCTGTCAGTTACGCTTGACGAGGTGGGCTCAGGTCGCTTGTTCAAGACACTGCAACGTGAACCCTCCTGCGAGGACGTCAAGGGTGGGGAGCTCTGAGGCAAACAGGCTTCCTCTCTGTTCCTCTCCTCTGGTGCCTTCTGCACATTGTGCCAGGGGGGTGCATCCTCCTCTGGGCACAACTAAACAGCCCTGTAAGGTGCCCAGCAGTCCGGGTTTCCACCCTCAGACGCTGGCCCCGGAGCCCCTGCCGGCACCAGGCAAGCCGAGAGCCCGGCCTCTTGCCCGTCGAGGAGCGTGTGTCCCTCAGAGTGTCGCAGACGGATGTGTTGTGGCAAAACTGCACATTAACTTGCGTGACGCGGCCATAACTGGGTGGACGGAGAACCCGGGACTCACCCTGGGGATGTCCGCAGGGCGGTGTTTGTGTCGAGAAGGTGCAGTGGCTAAGACCTGTAAGTCCAGCATGTTGGGAGGTTGAGGCAGGAAGATCACTTGAGTCCAGGAGTTTGAGACCAGCCTGGGCAACATGGCAAGACTAGTGTCTACAAAAAAGTAAAAAAAAAAGCCAGGCATGGTGGTACACACCTGTGGTCTCAGCTCTCTGGGGGCTGAGGTGGGAGGACCGCTTGAGCCCAGGAGGTCGAGGCTGTAGTGAGCTGAGATCGCTCCACCACACTCCACACTGGGTAACAGAGTGAGACTCTGTCTCAAAAAAAAAAAAATACAATGGTTATATTTTTACTCAGTAAAACAAAGAGCTTCATTCTCACTGGGCTCTGGACAACCCATCTCTTCCCCCATCAGCACAATGGGAGAGGGAGGACAACATCATGTCCTTGGCTTGCCAGGCAGCCTGATGCCATCCTGTAGGAAAACTCCCCATTTTCAGGGGGTTATTCACACCCTGACCCTCTTCTCTTCTGCAGCAAGTCTGGGCCTCTGGGCAATTTATGGACGCCTGGCACAGAGCAAGTGCTGGACGCACATTTTCTGACCACGTCCGCATGCCCTCAGCCTTCTGGTGTCCGAGGAGCCAGACTGTCCCCCAGCTGTACCTGGGAGCCTCGGGAGCACCCCCTCCTCCAGGCCACAGGCAGCCTCGGGAGCACCCCCTCCTCCAGGCCACAGGCAGCGGGCGCTGTGTTCATCTCCATCCTACAGAAGAGGGAACTCACTGCGGGACGGGGGTGGTGGGGACGGGGCCCAGTGGTAAATATTTTAGGTTTTGTGGGTCAACTCAAAGGACAATATGTAAATGAGCAGGTGCAGCTGTAATTCAATCATTTTTATTTTTTTAGAGACAGGGTCTTGCTCTGTCACCCAGACTAGAGTGCAGTGGCACAATCACAGCTCCCTAGAGCCTCAACCTCCCAGACCCAGGCAGTCATCTCGCCTCAGCCTCCTGAGGAGCTGAGACCTCGGGAGCACGTCGCTGCCCTTGGCTAATGTTCCTGTGTTTTTGTAGCACTGAGGTTTCGCTATGCTGCCCAGCCTGGTCTCAAACTCCCGGGCTCAAGTGATCCTCCCGCCTTGCCCCCAGTGTGCTGGGATGACTCATGTTCTAATACAACTTTCCTCATGGGTACCAAAGCCTGAACCTCACATGATCATCACATGTCAGGAAACCTTCATCTTCTTTCGATATGACAAGGAAGTGGAATCACAGGAGGGTGGGTAACTCGGTTAAGCAACTGGCCCCAAATAACCCGCCTCCCCTCCACCACCAGACCACGAAGCCCCCGCGAGAGACGCCTTCGCTGGGCAAGACACAGGAGGAAGAGCATTAGGGCCTGGAGCGGGGACACCATCCACGAGTGACCCAGGCCCTTCCTTCTGCCCCTGCTTCCTGCAGCAGGCACCTGCCCTCATGCCCAGCCCCTTCCTGGTGCTGTCTTCTCTCCAAATGCTCTCTCCTTCACCTCCTCCATCCAGGAGGCCGGCACACTCCCTAATGGCTCCTGGGGACCAGGAGACGCAAAGGAGAGGGCAGAGGTGATGCCAGAGGTGGAAAGAGTGGGTCAGGGGTGGCCCACTCTGGGCTTGGCTTGGACTCTGGTCAGCCCCTCCCCACAACCCCCTCTTGGCTGCCAGCACAGGTCAGCACGGCTCAAGCGTTCCAGAAGCTGTAAGAACCCAGAGTGCTAGGGGTCCAGCCAGGGGCCATCTTGGGCCTCCACCTGCCCTGGTCACGTCCCTGCGTCTCCACCCTTGGTAGCGGGCGCTGTTCTCAAACCCGGAAGTCTAGGCCCTGGGCACGTCCCTGCGTCTCCACCCTTGGTAGCGGGCGCTGTTCTCAAACCCGGAAGTCTAAGCCCTGGGCCCATCTTTTTCCTTTATTCCCATGCGAAAGCCATACCCACTCTGTCTCAGGTCAGTTCCACCACAGACGCTGAAGTGGGAAAGTCAGTGTCCTTTCCAGGGATGGCACCACTGGACACAGACCCCCAAGGCCCTGTGGCCCCAGACAGAAGGGCCGTCCCCACTCAGCAGAGGATAATTTTTGTGAGCTCACCGTGGTTTGCGGCCACCATGGCACCTCTGCCCACGGGGCCCTCAAGTCTCCCACTGCCTGCCGCCCCCCTCCCCACCCCCACCAAGTGACCTGTTCCAAGCAGCCTCTAGGACTGGGCAGGTGTTTCCACAGGGCCCTGGTTACACCTGGCTTAGGAAGAGCCTAGCCGTGGGGGACGCGGGAGGGTGGGGCATTCAGGGGTGGGGGTCTGGGGAGAGCCCACCTTGCTCTTCTCCTGCTGCAGCTCGATCTGGATGTCCGTGAGCTTGGCTCGAAGCTCCTCGTTGGCCGCCTGCAGCGCCGCCAGGGCCTCCGCCTTGTCCCCCTTGGCCCGGCTGCCCATGCCCCTCTTGGACATGGTGAGGCTGGATGGCCAGGGGACGCCCAGGGGCAGGGCTCTCCAGCTGGGCTGGGCTGGGGTGTCCACACCAAGCTCCCAGCAGGTGTCACCAGAGCTGTCGCTGCACTACATGTTCTCATTCACCTGGTGAGGGAAGCACACCCGTGAGCAGCCCCTCCGGAGCCTCGGCCTGGAGCTCAGGGGTTGTGTGCCAGGGTGGGGGCACACAGACCCCCGCACCTGCCCTCGTCCCAGCACTGAGGACGCTACCTGGCCTAGGCATGCCGGGGAACCAGCCCCAGACCTCAGAGCCCATCTGCCCTCCATACGGTGCCCCTAAACAGGGAGCCCACATCTAAAAGCACATCTCTATGCCCAGCGCCTGATAAACACTCAGCATGTGGGAATTCTTTTCCCCTTGGGAATCAGAGACTGAGAGTGGGCACCCAGCTTCAAACCCAGAATTCCATATGTGGCTGAGAGGCCACACTATGGCAACACGGCATATAAACCACGAGCTGTCAGATGGTGGAGGGGACCCCATGACCTGGCCTCCTCCACAGAGACCCCCAAGCCACGCTCAGGAAATGCACAGAAGTACTGAGAGCAGGGCCTGGAACAGAAGCACAAGCACTCAGCTCACAGCAGCGCAATCCAGGCAGCCGCACAGGGGAAGCAACCGCGCCCATTGACGGATGAGTGGCTACGCAAAACATGGAATATCCACGGAACAGAATACGATGCAGCGTAACAAGGAGGGAGATTGGGACACAGGCTCCGGCAGGAGAACCTGAAGACATCAGGCTGGGTGAAATGAGCCGGTCACAGAAGGACAAATCCCATATGATTTCTTGAATATACTCAGGGTCTACAGGAGGCAAACCCAGGAACAAGGCAGAATGGTGGTTGCCGGGGCTGGCAGAAGAGGGGATGGGAGTTACTGTTTCCTGGAGATGGATTTCCTTTTTCTTTGCTTTTGGAGATGGCTCTGTGTCCCACCAAGGGGAGTGGCTGTAAGTACACATGAAATTTCACTCCCTCACCCACTGCTTGCCTCCCGCTGTGCAGCCCAGCTTCTAACGGGCCATGGACAGACACTGGTCTATGCCAGGCACTGGGGACTCTGGTGTAGGCAATCAGTGCTCTCCACTGGTCACAGCAAGTCCTCCAGGTTCAACCCCATGGAAGATGCTCACTGCCTCAGAAGAGGTGATTGGACGAAGCTGGTGAGATCCTCACAATTTCCTACCATGCTGCCAGGCGCCTCCCCCAGCTGTTCCTCTCCCTCAGATGCTCTCACCAGCTACTTTCCTCCAGGTGTTCCTCCCCTCCAGCTGCTCTTCTCCTCTCAGGTGCTCCTCTCTCCCTTTGATGTTCCTTCAGGCTGCTGTTCCTCTCCCCCAGATACTCCTCTTGCCTGCCAATGCTCCTAACAGGTCCATTGGGTCCCTCTGTGGCCCTCCTGCTCCGGGGGCCTCCTTCCATCCTCACCGTGACCAGCTTTCCCTGACAGAGGGAAAAAGCACCTTCTCCTCCTATCCTTGTTTACCTTCTGCTCTTGTCACCTGTTACAGGGCAGTGAAGGCAGCCAGGATGGAAGGGACCAGCAGGCGGATCACACAGGGGAGCTTTCCCCGCAAACGTAGCCCCCACCCCCAACTCCTGCATCTCCTCTCAGGGTGAACACAGGCTCCCCGTACTTCTGAGTCTCTCTCCAGTCTGTTTATCTGCTTACAGGACCATGGGAGGGAGACTTGGACGTGGACCCCTGCAGTTTGATGAAGGCCAAACTTGGTGGGTATGGGGTTCAGAGACCAGTGGAGGCGGCAGGACGGGCAGGGGCAGGGGCAGGGCCACGGGGCATGGGGCAGCCAGGTGAGCCCAGCCTCCAGGGGTGAGTGAAGATGGCCTCACAGAAGGGGGCCAGCTACCAGAGAACTGTAAGGAGACTGCGGGGCTGAAAGGAGAACTGGGAAAAGGCTGGGCACTCTTACCCTGCAGGTCTGCTGGCCTCCACCTGGACGGCGAGGGGGGCCCAGCAGGGCTGATGTCAGCTCTGCACATGTGAGGTGGTTGGCGGGGGTGGGGCTGGAGGGACCAGGCTCTGGTAGACGGCAGAGGTGGGAGCCGTTGTGGGTGCAGGGAGAGGAAGGTGCCCTCGAGATGCCACTTCAGACAGGGCTGGACCCACTGACAGGGCTGAGGCTGTGCCCAGGTCGCCCTGAGGACACTGTCAGAGGCATCTTCATTTAGAAAGGGGAAGGTGCTCACAGGGCCGAGCGGGTTCTGCCTCTCCCCACTTTCCAGCTCTGTCCCGAGGACAAAACCCCAGGAGCTTGGGAAAGGCCCAAAAAGAGTTCACAGGAGAAGAGAGGCCTGAGGAGGAGGAGGAGGAAGGGGGCTTGGCTGGCTTTGCTGGTGGAGACTCAGAGGATGTCGGGCGGGCAGGCCCTTCAGGGGCACGGACTCCTGGAAACGGGAGAGGAGATTCCACAGGTGCTTTGCTCTCTCTTAGGTAAGAAGCTGCTCTAAGAGGCGACACCAGCTGACGCTGAAATGACGTTAGTGACTCCTGGCCCCAACCCCACAAGGGACAGGTGGGCTCCTGCAGACCCAGACTGAGGGCCCACCTCCTGCTTTCCTCCCTGGGGAGCGGTGAAGGGGACTCTCCGGGGAGAGGAACCCACTGGAGAAGGGCGGGGTCCCATCCCGTGCACTGGGGTTCGGGTCTGTGTTCTCTTCCACCACAGGTGAGTGCTCCAGTCGATGTCCCACCTCCCGCAGGGGTCTTCTTTCTGGCTTCCAAGAGCACGTTCCCACCTCCATTCCAGTCCTCAGGGACAGCCCGGAGACACGAGGGCTCCGGCTTCCTTCAGCGGCACCTCCCTTCCAGGTCGGAGCCCCGCACTGCCACTGCCCCCTCCTGGCTGCCGCACGGTGCTCTGTGCCGAGCTCACTGCCGGCAGGAGAAACTCCTCCCATCTGCTGTCTCCAGCAGGACCAATCGAGAAAAGGCAAAGGAAAATGTGGCTGGCGAGACAGCTGTCGTTCGCATGGCTTTGCTATTTTAAGTAGATGGAGCAGTTTTTGAAAAAGAATCCATTTTAAAGGGTCCTGCTTGCTAATATGAAATGGTCAACATCTAGACCCATCCCAGGAGTAATTTCTAATTAGCCCACTGTCCGTAGCATTTAGTGGTTAATTTTGTTTTAGGGAGACTTCAGCATGGGGAGGGAGGTCCTCACTGTCACCAATGGGCAGAGTCTGGTCACAGCTACATCTGCCCTGGGGAGCCTGGATCAGCCCTGGGGCAGGAGCAAGCTCAGAGCAGACACCCCTGACAGCACTGCGCCAGCCCCCCACCACGATGGGGTCACAGGAGGGCTGGGCCAGAGCTGTCCCTTCACCGGGAATCACAGCAACACAGTGTGAACCTCACATGCAAATGAGCCCTCCAGACACCATGGACTCTGCTCAAACCCACCCTCACCAGGCACTGTGGATTCTGCTCAAACTCACCCTCACCAGGCACCGTGGACTCTGCTCAAACCCACCCTCACCAGGCACCATGGATTCTGCTCAAACCCACCATCACATATACCGTGGACTCTGCTCAAACCCACCATCACAGATACCATGGACTCTGCTCAAACCCACCCTCGCCAGGCACCGTGGACTCTGTTCAAACCCACCATCACCAGGGCAGGCATGGAAACTGCCGACCGACAGCACGGCTGTGCAGCCAGGGGCCTGGGGTGCCAAGGGATGCGCCGTCTGTGACACTGCACATGAGCCACAGGTACAGGGCAAGCGGCACCCAGGGGACCAGCCTGATGAGGACCCATGAACGCACCCATGAGTTTGCACCGCTGACACAATCAGAACGTACATTAAAGCACTGGGCGTCTTTCGTATGTGCTAAGTTGCATTTGACCAGGAATAGTCAGAGTCCCTCCTGAGCCTGTCAGTTGGGGAAAACCCAGGGCATGTGTGAAAGAGGCGGAGTTTGCAGCCAGGCTCCCCCCAAACCCCATAGAGTGCTTTCCCTGCTGGACAGCGTTCTGCAGCCGGTCTCAGGCCGGGACTGCACCTTCCTACTCTCCCTGGGGAAGCCATTACACTCCCAGCACAGATTGCCTCTTTTATTTCGGGGTCTCCGAGGAGGTATAAAAACAATTTCCTTCCCAGTCATTGTCTGGAGGCTGCAGACATGCTCCAGGTTGGCCTCTGGTCACTGTTTTATGGCAGGAGGTTTCCCTGTGGGGGCAAAGCTTTACAACCAACGATGTGGTTCCACCTCTGGTGAATCTCTGCAGTGAATCTCCGCAGTGAGCCTCTGCGTCGCTGGTGAGGAGGCTGCCCCGGGATGGCTGTTTCCACCGCTGGTGAATCTTTCCATCGCTGGCGAGGTGGCTGCCCCGGGATGGATGTTTCCATCACCAGTGAATCTCTGCAGTGAGCCTCTGCGTCGCTGCCAAGGAGGCAGCCCCAGGATGGATGTTTCCACCGCCAGTGAATCTCCCCATTGCTTGCGAGGCGGCTGCCCTGGTTAGGGCTTTGCTCCACTCTGTCCCCGTTGGGCTGTTTACTAAGCATTGAGCCTCTGGATTTGGTCTTCAACACCCAAATGACCACCATGCGACACAGAGGACACCAAGAAATCAGACCTATCCGTACCGGAGCGGCCTTCAGGGCCACCCCCCTGTGATTTGGGGGCATCCTGGGGCATGATGGTTCGTGTCTGCAGCTCCTGTGACCTCATGGGGCTGTGAGCATTTGGCTTGGATTCTTTCTGCACTAACTAGTTTATCTACAGAGAAGAAAGGATGGATCTGACGATTCGTTTCTATGGAAATCCAATGTCTGGGGTGGGGAGAGGGGATGAAGGAGGGTCAGAGACCCTGTAAGAACCCACAGGAGGGGGACACATGGACCCACCAGGCCCACCCCGCAGGTCACCTCTGACAGATGCCTAAGCTTCGTGGGAGAAGAAAGGGTGAAGACAGGCCCCGGGGCCTCCCCTGTTCACTGGGCCTCTCTCCGTGAGCCTGGCAGGCTGAGCTTCTGGCAGAGGGCTGCGGGGAAGGCAGGGGCCACAGAGTCTCCTCCCCTAGGGCAGATGGGTGTGAGCTTCCAGGTGACCC